TACAGGTCTGTTTATGTTTTTCTTCTAGTTTTCTGATTGAATCTGTGAGTTCATTTTTAATTCGTGTTTTTTCCTTTCTACAGGCAGCTAATAAGGAGATACACTTCCCTCTAACAACCGCTTTAGAGGCGTCCCACACAGTAAGGCAGTTAACATCTTCTTGATCATTTATTTCGAAGTAGCTTGTGATCTCTTGTCTTATAATGTTTTGGGTTTCAGTGTCGTATAGTAAAGCTTTGTTGAGCTTCCAAGACCTCATTCTGGGTTCTGAGTTCTGCAGTCTAAACTTATAAATCACTGGGGCGTGGTCTGACCACTTTTTGATCCCAATGTGTGAGGAGATTGATTGGCGTATCAATTGTTTTGAAATTAAAATGTAATCGATTCTTGAGTGCGATTTATGGCGTGGTGAGTAGTATGTGTAATCTCTTATGTTGTCGTTTTTTATCCTCCAAATGTCATGTAGGTCATATTTTTGCAGGATTATGTTCAGTTGACTTGTCCTGTTTGTTACTTTTGGCTTGTGATTATTCGAAGAGTCCAAGTTCGTATTCATCAAATAGTTTAGATCTCCTCCCAAAATTATCTGGCCGGTTCGAAAGTTGTCGAGTTTCTTCAGTGTTTCGTTTATAAATTTGCATTGATTAACATTAGGGGAATATATAGAGGCAAGAGTAATTGGGTGTTCGTTGATGTGCCCATTGATAAAAATATATCTGCCTTTTTCGTCTTTTTCTAAGGTCTCCATTTTAAAGTTGGTGTTTGCTGACACAAGGATTGCTACCCCTCTTGCTTTTGACGTCCCGTGTGCTACAAATTGAGAGGAGTACCAGTTTGAAGGCAAAACATGCTCGCCTGATTTTAGGAAGACCTCTTGCAAAAATATAATGTTAATATTTTGATGTTTCATATCATTAGCTATTCTTCTAGCTTTGATTTTATTGTTCATACCCCGACAATTTAGGGTTAATACTCTTATATCTTCCATAATAAAATATTTTTTATAGCTTGACTCCTTGTTTCAATTGCATTTCTATGATTGAAGTTTCGTTCGTTTATATGATACTCGTTGTTTACTTGGTCATCTTTTGCATAGCGTATCTTTTCATTATATACATGCTCCATTCTATAACTCTCATTTGCATCTGTCTTCCCAAAAGAATTTAGTGTTTTCCATGACAGCCCAATTTGGGTTATATAAAATCTATTTAGGATTGTAACAGGTTTTAAAGGTGAAAAATAACATAGTGTCTTACCTAACCCTTCCCCTTCCTCTCCCCCCCTCCCCCTTCCTTCCTCGTTTGTAATACGTCTGAGGGCAGTTCTAGCAATCACTTTGTGCTTCAAAAACTTTAATAGCAAAACTGTTGGATATTCTAACTCTGGTAACATCAACCATTGTTCAATATTCACACATTGTTGTTGTAAAAATAATATCCAATATAAAACATTCAACATTCCTATGGAAACATTTTTGCCCTTTGCCCTCTGTGAAACTTCAGCCCTTATCCCTTCCCCCACCCCCCCTGCCCGCCAGTTGTGTTCTGGGGGAATGAGTTCTCGCTCATCCCCAAGCCCTAAAGGCTTGCTATCCAGAAGCACAATTAACCATCCAATACATTGCCACAAAATAATAGTAAACATGTCCTAGGGGTAAATGACCGATCTTTAGGCCCTCCCCCCTTCCCCCCCACCGATAAAATAATTAGCATTGAGCCTTCCCTCTTCCTAGTAACAGTTTCTTATAACTGTTTTTTTCTTTTTCTTTTAACAAGCTAGCGTTTTAATTATAGCAAGTAAAAGCATACTTCACCAATACTTGCATTACTAGAATGTCACAATTGGAGATCTTAGCGATCATAAGAAATTCTCCTCCTTGACGTTATTTTCTTCCATTTTTGCGGGGTGATCTGACGGGTCCTCTTCCGTGATGACAATTGCTCGGTTTCCATCTCAGTAACGGGATTAAGACCAAGTGCCAGCAGTAGGCTTTCACCCTCGTCTAAGTTGAGTGCTTGAAGTGTGTTGCCATTTTTCCGCACTTGAAGTGCACCTGTCGGGAGCCATCTATATTTTATGTTCGCTTCAACGAGGCGTGCCGTGATTTGTTTCAAGGAACGTCTGATTGCTAGGGCTTCGGTGGGAAGGTAACAGCATTCTGTGCGCCTCGGTATCTATCATGCCGGCCACATGACCACAGAAACGTCTTCAGACAGCGCTGGCTCTTTGGCTTGGAAACCGAGATGAGCACTGCCCCCTAGAGTTGGATTTGACTAGCTCTCGAGCAAGGGAAACCTTTTTAAAGGATACATTCATCCCTTAAAACATTATTACATGGGTTTTTCAATCATGTTTTTTCATTGCCAGGTATCTTAAGATGTGTTTAGTTTCAAGAAAGAGGAAATACTGAAACAATCAGAAATTAAAACTACGGAGAATTAATTACTAGACATAGACTCCTCCTTATGCAGCCCAAGGTGCACAGCCAGCCCATAGTCTGATACTTCTACTGCCCCCCTTTTGTGTGTTTCTCTTATTGGGATTACTGTGCTTTCTTATGATACTGAGCATGCATAGTATTATAAGAACATCTGACATTTGGGGTGCCCATAGTATTGCAGAAGTGTACATGTGGAAAGCCTCAGTCTCAGTCCTCAGCATCTCTAATGAAAACCACCTCCATTAAAAGGCTGGCAAAAGCTGCCCGAGGTCTTCTCAAACTCTGGGTACTGACACAGTCCAGGATGTGAGGGCAATCTGGCTGTGACATCCATCACCCCATTGATCACCAGAGTTGCTTCGGCAGACTCAGTCCCTTGCAGGTGAGTCGAGAGGCCATGGCAAGGGGCAAATCCAAGCTTCCCTTCTCCCAGCAGCAGGAAAAGGAAGGTGGGTGGAGAGGCTGCTCCATTCACTTCTCCTGCCCTCCTTTGCCATAAAGCCCTGTTTATTCCCAGGGGCTCAGCCTCCTTCCAGTCATCAGCATCCCAAGCACGTATATTTGAAAGCAAAACCCACAGAGCTCAATGGGTTTCACTTCTGAGTAAACCAGAAATTATGGGGAAGTGCTGACACAGCTTTTCGCTTCTGGCAGCATTTGAAGCACCCTGACAAGGACTTGGGCAATTAAGGCCAGGGAAGGGAGAAAGTCGTAGTGGCTGAAATTAAGGTCTGTGAAGTTGGTCATGGAGCTGGACTTCAGTCATGGAGCTGGACTTCTCAGTACTGAGAATACAAACAATGGAGATAGACTGAATGTAGCTTCCAGATCAATAACGTGAAGCTAATTACTGGCATCTCACAAAGAATGCCTGTAAGATCATGGCCTAGGAAACCTGCCTTCTACTATTTTAAATTTTGTAATACCCAGCCTGAAGAAGGCCTCTGATGAACTTGAATCCTTGTGTGTCAGTCTGGATAGTCCATGGATTTAGTTTGTTTTTGGATTTTGCTTGGATCAACCTGTCCAACCTTTCTGAAGTACAGAGGCCCTAGCTGAGGGTTCCTGTCACATCCAAACAGGCAGCAAACCTTGCCTGCCTGATCTAAAAACACATATGGCTCCCTCACAGAATAGGCAATTCTCAAAAAAAATACCACAGAAAACCCACATTTACACATCACTTTGGAAAGTGAAGGAAGAAGAGTTTGCTCTGCATTGTAGCCCAGTTTAACAATCATTACACAGCCATAACATCATAGTCTGTTCCATTGAAGTGGGGAGGAACATAGCTAGATGCATGTTGTATCCAGACAGCCCTGTAATGGAACTCGATTAAACCAATCATGAATCAATGGACAGATAACTCCAGTATATTCATAAGATGTGTTCAAAAAGCCAAGATCAGTAGGAAGCCTGCTTAAGTTTCCAAGGCTCATGCATTTACTTTTTCATCCCGCAAGCTGTTTTAAGGTAGAAGGAACAAGGAGCAAGGATGGCATGTTATCTAATGCAGATGCCAGCTATGATCATGAAGATCCAGGATACACATCACTTGTAGTCCTGAACCCAGGGCTACAATAACCCCTTCAATATTTATAAAAATAGGAAGCAAAGCTATTTTTCAGCAGGCTCCGTAAGAGGACAGTGACGTATATATTTATGTGTGTGCATGACACATATACTTTATGAAAGAACTGGCACATTACCCTTCTATTGTTTTACTAGTTTCCTGCAAGTTAATTTGGTGTTGACAAAACAATTGATTGCTTTCCAGTGAAAGAACAGGAACAAAGAAGCCATTTGTGAAGGTGAAAACTCACCCACTGAGTTCCCCAAAACCCTAGTTTTCATTCAGATTTTAAGCCGCAAGCTTCTGCCTTCTGTCGTTGTAGAACTAAGTTTAACCAATGTTAAACTTAGCCTAGAAGCTTCAGATAGCAGACCAGGATGGAAACAACTTCAGCTTTACACACTTTCCACAGCTCCCTGCTTTTCCCCATAAACCAAAGACTTCAGTTCCTTCACCCAATTTAGCACCCACCAAGATCTTCTTCCCCCTTTACTGCTATGCTATTTTGCAACTAAAAATGAGTATTTACATAACAGAAAGAATGATGTTCTAATGAATAACTTGTTTCACCATTTCTAGTTCTGATTGAATACACTATAGGACAGAAGCCCAAGTGTAATTTGTGTAAACCTGCATAAATGTTTTATTCAGTGGCATCTGAGAATTTAACTCAAGCATTTTTCAATTTTAAGTATAATTTACAGCTAACAAGCAGCCATTCCATGCAATCCAAACAGTTTTCAGATGATGCCACCAAAACTGTTCTTTGCTTATTGCTGATTTATAGGAAGAGCGCGTGGTGGTGGGTCCCATGCCACTCCCTATGGAGCAGCTTTTTACTGTATGAACTATGGGTCCCAATTATTTCCAGGCACTGGGGATGGGTTTAGTCTGGACCACCAAGGCAGCAACGGTGAAACTAGAAATTCTGTTTATCTAACTTCTTTGGTTAAGGCATATGAATGTTTGGATACAGTGTTTTAATTATTATGAGTTTGTCCAAATCAGGAAGCTGTATTTGAAGTCTACATTTCCTGTAATGTTCTAGAATACTCCCCCCCACACACAAAAAGATGAAACATAGTTATGCCCAAAGAACTTTAAGGAAACCTTTTCACAGATTACAAACGCTAATCGCAGTTTTTCCCATCACAGAAAGGACTGAATATTTCTACAGACATGAGACAGGAGGAGCTGACTCACATCCTCACAGCAGCTTTTCTACACAAAGAGTGCAGGAGGAGGCACCTGTTCTGCAGGAAAGGGTGTGCTGGGGTTTAGTTAATGAAACAGGAACTACACACTGCCAAGCTGAAATAAAATGCCCTGCAGGGTAGTAAATCCCCTGCTGGGCTAATGAAATTAAGTGTATTAAGAGCTGCTGATGTTTCACATGCTTTCTAACGTGGAACTTCACAGAGTTACGAGGTAGCAGCAGCAGCTGCATGAATATAGGGAGGAATGAGCTTCCCTTCCCCTGGAAAAACAGAGGAGCGGGTCTGCTGCATGGGACAAAAAGACCATCCCATCTAGCACCCTCTGCAGGTGGGAGCAGCCACATGCTCCCAGGAAGCTTTCAAGCAAAAACATGAAGGCAACACATTTGCTCCTAGCACCTGGAACTCGAGAGGTATGCTGCCCCCACGCAATCTTGCCAGCCAAACAAAGAAGCTGGTGCTAACCAAAAATGCTGGCTTTCATTTTCAGGCTTCAAAAGTCACCTGTTTCCTATGTGGTTCATATCCAGTTAAATGAACTAATTCAACAATCAAGAAAAACATACAAAGCATGGGAATATCTTTAAAGGGGTGTGGGGGAGGAAGCTATGATAATGTGGCATGCTGTGTAAGCAAGTACATATTCTTGATTTGCCAAACTGACACACATCAGGGTGATGGAATGCTATATGGCCAAGCTATAGCCCTCATTGTGAATGGATTTAGATGGCCAGCTTCACAGAGTGAAGAACAGCGTAAAATCACTTCATAGTGACTGGGGGGAAGGGAAGAGACGGCCTAGTAGTTTGAATATTTTAACCTATTACAAGGCACAGCTTGTCTGAGAAATCTGTGCTAAGCTGAGGGACACTGCTCTCCAGCCTGGCTATATACCTCCAATGCATTTTAACATTCAACCTGTCATATAAGTTAAGAAAAGAGTTCCTTCAGTGGCAGCTCCATCATACCAGCTACACATCACACTGGCCACTTGTACCCACCAGGAGTGTCTTTAATTACTAGGCCCAATAAGCTTATACAGAATATTCACTTAGAGGCGATATTTGCATTCTATATTCTATAAGGCATCTGCCCATACATGCGAATTGTCATTTCCACATATAAGTTTGCTGCCCAAACCATTTTTGAATAGACCACACTGATGTCTGTACTGGGGGGGATTCCCCAAGCTCCAGTCCCCAGGCAACGATAGAGAGTGTGTGATCTTTTCTGACAAGCTTACCTATTTCATTTTGTTCTCTCGCTTTCCTCAGGCTGGCCCAGCCCACCAAATTGCTTTTGTCTGATATCTCATCTTCCTTGCCTCGTCTCAGGCGCCAAATCCTGATGGTGTTGTCATCTGAACACGTGGCAATCTACAAACCAACACCAACAGTCAGATGGGAGTAAACGCACCTCCCAAAGTGGGGAGGAGAAAAGGTTGAGGAGACTGGAAGCGTGGCTAGCCTCATAACCTTTCCTATTACAATGAAGATTCCTAATAAGGAAGCCTAAGGTTAATCCAAGCACAAAGCAATATTACATTATTAATAATAAAACTATGAGTCAGAGTTTAAAAGGAAAAAGTACATCATTAAACAACCTCATTATACCTAGGGGTAAAATCATAATCTCGCCTAGCATTTGTATAGTGCTTTTGAGTAGAGTTCTTCACATGCTTTGTTGTGATCTCTGTAAGAATCATGTGAAATATATCAGCATTAACTTTATGTAAGCTGGGAGTGTCATGAGGGGAGAGGAAAAGGAGAAAAATTATGTGGAAATCTCTCAGATTACTGTAAATCCTCAAAGGTCTTGAATAGATCAATCATCTCCTCCCCAAAACTTTAAGTAGCTCCCAGCTTTTGGTGACTCTTGGAGCATATTCACTCCTCTTTGGGTCAATATGTGTAGTCATTTTTTTCTGCATATCTAGGAAGCCCCCAAATATGCAGAAACTCCTACATTGACAATTAGCTGTAGTGATAATAGTGAACAAGAAGCTGCAGGTCAGACCTTTGCCTATGGTCATCTAGTGAGCCAATAGGAGAGGTGTGATCTGGACCAGGGAGTTTCAAGCTTCTAATCACAGCCCATTACATTACCACAGCCCCAACACACTGTGAATGCACAAACTTTGTGTACAGGTAAAGCAACAAGAGGCAGGAGCTGACTGGATAAGCCAGGAACCTCTAAAGGGAAGTTCGGCAAAGACAAAAAAGTCACCTGGAGCCAAAAGCCTAAGGCTATTGGAGGTGGGAGCAGCTACTTATGTTTTGAAAGCAAGGAGAGTCTAAGTTTTCCAAAAGTACAAAATAGTCAAAATGTGAAAACAAACCTTGGAGAAGTCAGAAGGACACCAAGCAACTGAAGTGACTTCTTCCATGTGACCAAGGAGCATTACGGGAGGAAGCTGGGGCTCAGACACCTTTAAAAAAAAGAATTGTAAAACGTCCCTACTGAAGAGGACAAGCCTTCTCAAAGACTTCAAAGGAGTTTATTTACAGTAAAAATAACAAACGTTTTATGAAGCAAAGCTCGCTTTATCAGATGCACAAAAGATTATGTTCAGTAGCAGAACTATTTATATCCAAAGCTACAAATGGCAGAAAGGGCGAGGTATTGCAAAGAGAGGCCCTTTATGCTTTTGACAAAGTGGGCTTTGGTTCACAAAAGCTGATGCCACAATACATTCATTAGTCTTCGAGGTGCCACAAATCTGTTGTTCTCACAATAGGTACTGTTCCCCACAGTGCTGCCTGTGAAGCAGGGATGGACTTAAAGGAAACAGAGAAGAAACTTCATGCCGAGGTAGTGCCTACATTCATACAAAATTTGACTGCTATTCAGTAAGTGATAGGCAGGCCTGTAGACATAGCACTGAAAAGGACTGGAAGTAAATACCTAGGCAAAGTTCTGCACCCTAAATATTGAATTATGTGACCAGTATAGATCAGGCAAATGTGCATAATGGCTCTTATTTCATAATTTATTCTGCTTCTGGTCACAGGAAAAGGCAGAGAACTATGCAGTGCACTGATCACCTCCACCATCCACTGGAAATAATCTTCAACTAGCCCTCTGGTTTCTAGAGTTGCCAACAACTTGGAGAAAAAATGTTTGGCACTTTTAACAGAAGTGTAATGTGTAGAAATGGGCAGCTGAAGCTTTTCATGGCTTAGAGGTATAAATAACATCACCTGGTAAATAACATCCCATTAAGCGTCTGTTAAAGGGGCAAGACATTTTTTCTTCAGGTTGTAGGCAGCCCTATTTGCTTTCAGATGTCAACAGGCATGCTTTGGATAACAGCTATTATTATTTTAATTAATACCCAATAAAACTGAAAGCCAAATTAAACTCTGGTTTCCTGCCCTTTTAAGAAATCACAGCATACCTATATCCTGGGCCAATGTAGAATGAGCATGGTTAGCCCAGATTTTCACAGGCTTATGGCTACCAGCCAATAACATTTCAACTTCTTAAATCTATTACTACCCTTAAGTGTATGGACAATGAAGCATGGAAAGACGTGTCTTAATTTTGTACTGAAGAATCTGCAAAGTAATGTACTTTTGCAACATGAAGTAAATTATGAAGTAAATTATGCAATCTTTCAGTCTTTAAAATACTTAGAATATTTAGGTTGCCTGTAGTGACAACGGAGAACAGGGGGGTGTGGGTGGAAGAGTAGTACCTATTTTCCAGCCACACATATTTCCCCTGCTCTGATCTGAAAAAGCTCACAGGGGCTTTCAGATAGTTCACAAGCAGTCTCCCACTCACATAGCTCATAGAGCAAGATCTGTTTTGCTTCAGTTTTTTGTGTTCAGAAGAACCTCTTACGCATTATCTTCAATTCCTACTAACTAGCTGTACAAACCAAGTAGCTTCAAGTAATTCCCCAGTGGCAAATACCACTCCACCTACTGTACATCACCAAAAAAGGAGCAACCTAAGCTAACATCAGGAAGCTGCCAAACTGAAGGCACTTCCTTCAGCTTTGCAGCAGGCTCTGCTTCTTGAAGCTATGAGTCACTGTTAGCAGTGTGATATTTGATGGGGATTTGCACTGATGACTAAGTGAAGTTAATAGATTCTTCACCATGTGTCTAAGTGAGGCTTTACAAGGAGGTATGAAAGACATGAAGAAAGGATGCTCTACTTTTCCTGCTCCATTTCTTCTTTAGAAGCTGTTGTTTTGGTCTGGCAGCTTGAAAGCTGTATAAGTTTCTAAGCAAAATATTGAAAAATTGGTTGAAATTGGATTCTGCCAAGAACTTTTTCAAATAAGGTCAGCTTCTTGTCTGCGTATTTTGCACGTGCCCTGTTCAAAAATCCAGCCTCTTGGCCAAGGCAAGCAATGCCATGGAAACAAGAGCCCTTAAGAAAAACTGCTAAAGGTCTAGACTGGGAGAATACATTTGTTTATATTGAGCAGATTTCTCCTCTGTTTGCCTGTGTTAATGAGAGCAGGCAAAAGGAACGTATTTTGCACAGGATCTATCTAGAACCATCATTCATAAGGAATAGGAATATTTTGAACATGTGGTTAGAGTCCCAAACTATGACAGTGGAAACCTGTGAGCATGTCCCTCTGTCAAAATTTTCATCTCACTAACACAGTGATGCAAACCACAGTGGATACCCTCCTTCGCAAAACATCACTGCAATAAATGGAAATCCAAATGCAACCTACAAAGATTGGAATGCCCATAGATGCTGCTGTATGGAAACAGCTTTGCATTGCTGGCAGCGCCAAATCATGCAAAGGAAAGGCTGTTTTAAGGAGAGAAATGGTCATTTCCATCATTCAGTACACCTGAGTACCACCCAGATGTGATCAACAGTCACCTCCAACAGTTGTGCTTTATTTTCCCTTCCCTTCGCCTCTCCTAACAAGCAATTACTCTTCTAAGCACTGAAGACACTTTAGGTGCTGGTGCACATGGCATTCTGCGAGAGGAACAGATGTCATGCAGCTTTTCTCCTGGATCAGACAGGATCATAGCCGTTTCCCACAATAAGCACTAATTGAGGACAGAAGCAGCAATGGCCAGGACGCATTCTACGGTGCAGCTCTTAGAGATATTCCAAATATTGATATAGGAATAAAACATACTCTTAGAGCTCTCCTTAGAGCTCACATATAACAGCCTCCAGAGAAAGAAGGAGCATATGTGTGTGTGTGTGGAGGGGGGGGACTGACTCCAACAACAGTTTTGTCATGGCACAAAGGTTGGAAATGGAACAAAGATTTAACCCAGTATGTGTAAAGTGGTAGACATCTATGTAGCTTTCCCACCTATTGAAACAAGCTCCCAGAGGGTAAATTACAGGATAAGAAACTGGAGGGAGTTGGCTGTGCAATCAAGCAATGCTGATTAGGGTTGGCAGGAATTGTTGGCGAGCACAAAATGCTGCAGTTAAGTCAATGGCACCAGCATAAAGGGGAGACAAATACAAGGTTAGATGCTGGTCCACATAAGAAGCAGTGTTTATTGCTGCCAATCACACACTTGAGTGTATGGCTGCACAAAATAGCTGGCCATTCTCATGATCACAGCTGCTGTACGAAACTGTGTGAGAAAAATAAAGGCTACTGCTTGGTGTGAATTGCCCTGAACACTGAGAAGGAAGATGAAAAAGATCCCGCTTCATTATACTGGCTCCAGAAATACTGGCTTAGAAAGATAGTTCAGCTACCTTTGCTGTCATTTTAGAATTTAATACACAAAATACCAAGGCATGACCTGGAACCTGCAGACCTGGAGATTCCCTCATTTTCCATCATAACACCCAAGAGACAGAGAGAGCACCCTCCTCCTCGTGCCGCTTGAGTGCAAAGTCAACACACAAGGGATGCGGTCTAAGATGCTGTCTGAACGGGACAGAGGGGGAGGAGGAAGCTGCTTCATAATTATCGAGACTGCTGCCCTTCTTGTTTTAGACTATTCTATTTATTTATTTTACAGGGCAGGTGTGTTGATCTGCAGTAGAAGAGCTAGACTGGAGTCCAGCAGCACCTTAGAGACCAACACGATTTTGTGGGCATGAGCTTTCCAGAGTCAGAGCTCCCTTTGTCAGATAGTTCTAGTCATGAGCAGTGTTCCCTCTAAGCCGAGTTAGTGTGAGCTAGCTCACAGTTTTTTAGCCTCCAGCTCACACATTTTTGTCTTCGCTCAGGAAGGATGGCTCCAGAGCACACTATTTTATGAAGCTGACAAATCGCTCGCTCACAACATTAATGCTGGTAGCTCAGAAAGTAGAATTTTTACTCACAGGACTCCACAGCTTAGAGGGAGCACTGGTCATGAGGTTATTCTAGTTTAGTGAAGTATTTTATTTTAGCAAAAGGTACTTCGTGTTGGTATTATTATAGTGGATGAGATGAACTAAAGTCTAAATCACATCCTTTGGTGGAAAAATACAGATACATTCACATTTCCCCACACACAAGCTCAGTATGCCAATGAAGCTTCGCAGCTACCAGCCAGCAGTCAGGAATTTTGTGGAAGGCTCCGAACCATCAGAGCAATGCAGAGGCAATGGCTCCTGAAACTAAGCAGCAGGGAGGGCAAGAGGAAACAACACACAGATGAAGCAAGAGGTTATAAACTAGGGAAAGTGCCTAGGGAGGACTGGAGGAAAACTGTTTGACCATTAGACTCTGGTTAATTTGGGACTGCTCTTAAGTATGAAGCAAGAACTTACAGCCTGTCATAGCTGGCTGAATAAACAGGATTGAAAGGGGATTTTTAAAGGCCCATTAAAACCAGATTAAGCTCAGCAACTTGTAATAAGCAGGAGTGATTAGAGAAGGTAGAGGCAGGAAGTTAGTTCTGTTTTATATCAGGGTTTGCATTGACAGCTGCATACTCTGGGCACAGCGTGCCAGGAACTCGCCCACGTGATACTCTGAAATTCTCTCTTGTGCGTGTGTGAACACACACACACACACACACACACACACACAGTCAACAAGTAAAAAATACAGCACTGTAGAGGACAGACTCAGCATAGAGATTTTTAGTTGTTTGGAGGAACATACCTTCCAGATATGAGCACTCTGGTCACTTGAGCCACTAATCAAGAACTGGTCATCTGGGCTGATGCCTGATTTGACATAGAAACTGGAGTTCTGATGTCCACTGAAAGCTGATACTGAAATTTGACAAAAACAAAGCACAATGCCAGACAGTTCACAGCACAGCTTGGGAATCAGCCAGCTATACAACTAAGGCCAGTAATATAGGCTTTTCTTGCCTGTTCCCACAGAAGCAACTTGTTTAAGTATGTTCCTTATTGCTCTAGGACCTGAGGCTTCTCCCAAATGGAGAAAGGCTAAATGTGGGCAGGGACAATGGACAGAAAGGAGGACTCCAAGAAGGGGTCCTTAAGGTACCAACATAGCTCTCACATTGCACAGATATTCCTTGACTAGCACAGCCTGGGATGGTCATGTGCCACATACCAAAGCCATTTCCCTTACCCCCAAATATCCCACCCAAATTTATTCTGTGTTCAAAATTAAAAAGAATTTGGAATATCTGGGCAAGAACTGAGCTGTACAATAAGAATAACTAATGTAATATTGTTGTATTTGGTATTCTAGTAACAGAAAATGCATATTGTGAAGAGTGAAATATTCTTCTAAATATTAAATGGATAGAAAAATTTCATATCTTTCTGCCAAACCACCTTTCAAACCTGTATAATCCTTTCTACTATTAGCAAAATTGAATCCTCTAAAACGTTAAACATTTATCTACATCCAAAATCAAGCAATATGGGAAACAGTAGAGAGGCTTGTTTCATCACAGGTACATCTTCTGCTTTCTCATGTATGAGAAAATCAAAGCAAAACTTCAGTCAATCTTTTTTTTTAAAAAAACATATCTTCATAAAGCAGCAGGGGCCTGGCTTGAAGCTGGGACTCCTAATGTTGCAACCACTTGGCCAGCAGGATAGAGCAACTTTATTCCTCTCTCTCTTCACTCCCTTCAACAGTTTGGCCATACTTCTTGGTCTCTAACTGCACCTGTTCCAGTCACCTCCTTAAATCTTTAAGCATTCAGCACTTCTCAGATCAAATGCTCAACAAGGAAGCTGCTGCTCCTTTCATTTCCTACCATGGAGATCTGGTTTCTTAAGGAGGCTGGGCACGGGCTCAGGGACACAGGTCACTTGGCTATTTTTAAGGACTCCATAATACATCCTCACCACCTGATCTATTAAGCCTTGGAACTATGGCCCCAAATAGCTGCCAGACTTGGCATGTAGAGAAATGGAAGTGCCAGGGATCAGCAGGGAGAGTTGCGTGCAGGTGCAGAACACTCCAAGAGGACTGTGGAGGTGGTAAGGGCACATTCCCAGACTTAGCACAGAGTGTTACCAAGGCCCTCTATCAACCCTGGAAAGAAAGCTAGCTGTGTGCATTCTTTATGCAAAGGCCACAAGCTGTAGCAGCACCTGGTAAAAAGATACCACTGTAGAGTCTTTGGATACGTAAACTAAGCCGACTTTTCTAGCCTCTGGGAGAAGACATCTATTTATCTTTTCAGGCTAGGGCCCAGAGAGGTTTCCTGATCTTCTTTCCTCCAGTGACTGGGCCCTGGCAGTTAATGCTGCTTGCTAAACCAATGTCCCAAGCTCAAACATAAAATGGTTCATATTCCTTAAAGTTAACTTCACCACCTGCAGCAAGTAAAGATTTGCCTCCAAGCAGACAGAAAGGGAAGCTTTACGCAAAGTGGTTCCCCCTTTCAGCCAAGCAAGAACAAAAAAGGGAAAGAAACTAAACCTAACAAAGAACTCCAAAACCAAACAAAGGTTAGTGGAAAGGAGGGCCAATATTAAAACCTTTTCATAAAAAGAGGTACATGTATTTATTGATAATATCAAATTAAAACATATATAGGGGCCCAATTATAACCAATATATATAAAACATAACCCTAACCAGGGCTAAAAGAGTTGACCTGACGCGTTTCGGCCGAATCGGCCTTCCTCAGAGGTCATACAAATGTGGCTAGATGGTAAATAGTTACATTCATAAAAACACAATCAGGAATATATACAAACTATAAATTCAACAAGGACCATAAAGTAAATTGTTCAGAAGTAAAATAACCAGGCACAGGATAAATATGCACATGAAACCTTTTTAGACCTCTGAGGAAGGCCGATTCGGCCGAAACGCGTCAGGTCAACTCTTTTAGCCCTGGTTATGGTTATGTTATATATATATTGGTTATAATTGGGGCCCTATATATGTTTTAATTTGATATTATCAATAAATACATGTACCTCTTTTTATGAAAAGGTTTTAATATTGGCCCTCCATCCCCCTTTCAGCCACCAACAATGTAGAGGTGGGCTTTTAAGTTTTTGAACTTAACACAACTGAAGCAAGCACTGTCTGCTATCCATACTATCATCACATGGGTCATTCATTCAGTGCCACATGAAGGCTAAAAGAGGCAGAAAGTGTACTAGGGAGACACACACAACCCATGACCAGGAAACTGCTGCCAGACAGAATGTCTGGAATGCACACAGATCCCTATTAAAAGGCAAAATAGTTAGTTTCTACAGGCACATAGGCACACAACACTCCTATCAAAAAAGGAGAACAATATGAGTCAAAGTACAAAACGGAAGGCTATTAACACCTGCAAGTTTCCCAAGCAACTTAGTGAGCCTTTCAGTGTTTGCTGCTCTCTGGTGGCCTGAGAAGAGAATATGCAGTTGGATACCAAGTCTTAGAAATAAGGGGGGATCACCAAAGCATTTACCCCCCCAGAAACTAAACACAGTAATAACTAAACAAGGTTTGAAGAGGAAAAAACAACCCCTGATACAGAACCAAACCTGATACAGAACCAAACATTTAGGGTCTTTCTATAACCCATTACCAGTTGTCAAGTCCCACCAGCCCCCCAGGGGGTATGCTGCCTTCTGCTGTGGTGCCTTGGCTCCCTCAAGGCCTCAGAACAGGAGGGGAGGGGGGTTAGTGTATCCTGCTCCTCCTCTTCCAAGCTAACTGGTTCCCTCCAGAGTCTGG